GTGCAATCCCCTCGACCGAGCCGCTTCGTTCCGGTGAGAGCAAGGAGATCAGAGTGAACTGTCCGGGGAAGCTTGCCTAGTACTGATTAGACTAATTAGGACGATAATTCTGAGCATTCGGAAGTCTATTGACCGATTGCAACACCTCATCTAGAGTCTGTTCCGCCTCGAAGTCGAGAGGGGGCCAGGAGCATTCGAAATCGAGCCATGATCTACGATCTTGTGACCCCTCCCTCGGCGGACCTTGAGACGACGCGCGGCGGTGGGAGGAAGTCCGCTCCAGCTCAAAAAAAAATATATTGATCTCACAGGAAACAAATCGGGCGACCGAAGGGACAGACTCCAGCTCTCCAGGCTGTCGATTGATGTCCTGAGGAACGTCGGTCGGATGGATCGATCGGGATCAATCGATCGATCGCTACAGGACTTTCGATCGGAGACACTGGGAAGTTCGGATCGAAGAGCGATATCGAATCATGGATGCGGTATCCTGATTTTGACTCTATTGGGAGTTCGAATCGTTCTCGATCCACGCACTCACGACCTCGATTCTCCAAAGCTGCTTGTACTCCCTCCAATTAATTATTCGACTGCATGCGATTCCTGAATGGAAGATCAATAGGGATGGCGAAAATCTGGGCCCGAAAGCAGCGAGGCCTCCGAAGCGCGTTGGCGAAGTCGGTCTGTCGACGCTGCAGCGTCGAGCGCCCATCAAGCTATGCCAAACAGGTGTATGGCCGTAGGAGCACGTGATACGCAATCCCGCACAGGGGGGAGCGCTCGATGGAGGGTATGTGAGTCCCCTGTGTGAAGTCCTCACACCAGAAGCATGAGGATGGGGTACGTCGATACCATCCCATGACGAGGTCGATCTGGATTTTTTATTCTCGAGAAAGGGAAACAATCCGCTCCAAGACTTGGATGTAGATTTCGGAACTCCGATGAGTGCGGTGGAGAGATAAACTTCAGCGCTGTTGGGTGTTCAATGGACGCGGTCGAATAATCAATTGGAGGGAGTACAAGCAGCTTTGGAGAATAGGGGTCGTGAATGCGTGGATCGAGAACGATTCGAACTCCCAATAGAGTCAAAATCAGGATACCGCATCCATGATTCGATATCGCTCTTCGATCCGAACTTCCTAGTGTCTCCGATCGAAAGTCCTGTACCGAATCAGATTCATCCCGATCCCGATCGATCCATCCGACAATCCTCAGAACATCAATCGACAGTCTGGAGAGCTGGAGTCTGTCCCTTCAGTCGCCCGATTTGTTCCCAGTGAGATCAAGAAATTTTTTTTTGAGCTGGAGCGGACTTTCTCCCACCGCCATTCTGGACCACTGTGCGCTGCCTCCCGTCTCATCGGGGGGTGAATCCATCGCGACAGCCTTCTCGGAAGATTGGAAGTGACAAGAAACAAATGATCCGGGATAACTCTCAGAGAGAACCTTCCCTCGATGCATATCAGAAAATGAAAACGCCACCCGTACGCTGGACTTGACATCTTGTCGGACCCGATTCCCTCCACTCGATTACGGCTGTTGTGGCGTTTCTGCCTCCGTCCACGGTTTGTCGTCAATTGCATCCTAGAATGTGGGCGTCCGTCTACGGCGACGATTCTCATGACTCAGCCGGAGCGGCGAAGATCCACCAGCTTCTTCCAGCTCAGACAATTCCGAAAATTCGGAGCTCGCCGATATTTAGATGATCGGTCTTTGCCTTCTTGGAACCTTCCCGAAGCAAACCGTGGGGTCCGGGGTTTCGGCTGATTCCCCTCCGCACGGCCTTGTATCCTTGCTCGTTCGAGTCGAGTGATCGGCTGTGTTGGTGAGCAATACCAATCTGAGAAGGTTCATTGAGAAACATCCCGTCACATATAAGCTCCGAGCATCGCACATCGGGATGAAAAAAATCTGTGCAAGCACTATACCTGGAAAACAGACGCTTTCCGTGCTGTGAAGGACGGGACGTGGCATAAACGCATCGCTCGCGGAGCGCAATATCGGCAAACGGAAACGCCCGACCTGGAGTTGATGACTAACATGGGAGCTGTGAGAGAATCGAAAGGAGGAGGACCTCCGATACCGTCAACCGTCGAGCGAACTGGACTTGTCGGGACCTGTTGTCCAAACAAAAGGGTCACTCAAAATATACGTACGACCGCCCACGGACCGCTTTCGTTCCGGGAAATCCGAAAGCGAAGTTTCCAGAGCTACGATTTTCGTAAGCCGCGATTGCTCCGCGGGATTCTTCCAACCCCACGCTCGCTGTTCGGTTAACTTTTCTAGAATTTTTCTAGAAGCACGAGAAATCTTAGTTTTGATCTTCATTCATCTTACAGCTTTTGATACCTATACCTTATTGGATGATGGGGATCGGGAATCACATGCCACTTGACCATTCCGAACCGTGCGAAAATGATGCGATTCCGGTACGAGATGAATCCGCTCGTCATCCGACGCATTCTCGTATAGACAAAAATCTCAATGATTATCATCAAAGAGGGGATTCCCCTGTTCCTCGTGAAGTCTAACATGACGGTCGTGGGCTCGCGGGCTGGTTCTGGTTAATGTTGCATTCTGAACTCCTCAGTGCTCCGCAGATCATTGCTGCGGTTTTCCACTGTTTCCGTCAATTGACTTACGCTCTCGCGCGGCAAAATATCTGCACAAAAATATCTGCGGTACCGTCTGGGTTTGAGTGCCACTGCTCGAATAACCTGACCTGCCTGTCGGATGGAACGCGTACGCGAAAATCGCAGAGGAAGCTTTCTCCGTCTCTACCACAGACTGACGACACTGGAAAGTCTGAGCACACGGTCTCATCTCAACTCTACATTTCGGACGCCGGGGAAGACCTCCGAAGCTCATCTGCGTGACAGAGCTCGTCCACAAGAGGGCGGCTCAGGGGTCAGGGGATACCCATGAGGTTCGACTCTCGACGGGGCAGATAAGTTCGGTTCGGAGGATATAGATCCGACATTGATCAGTGATTATCAGGTAGAATTCCGGGCTCGGGCGGCTCGCATCCACACGATAGCGGTGAAGTCAGCATCCTGACTTCTCTCTTCGTTCTCGAAATACTCATGCCTCATCGTCGGGGCTGCTGCGCCGATCGAGGCCGGAGAGAGAGTCGATTCTTTCTCTTACACTTTCTTCTTCTCGTGTTCGTGCGGATTTCGGAAATGCTTATACAATTTTATTGCGCTCCGATGAGCGCGCAGAATTTCGGATAATTCCCGCACGCACCTAGAGTTTCACCCTCTCCACTCAACGAGACATACAAAGAAAAGTAGTATTTTACGTTTCGAATGCCTCCACCTTGGCTACAATTCGTTCTGGCGGAGAGGTTTGATCGGAAAATTCTTGTTTTCCTCGCCGCTCCCTCACCGCCGGAACATCGTGAACTCTGTAATGAAGCATTTTCGAAAAACCTGCGATTTACATGAACATCGGGCGGCCAGCGTGTCAATCTTCTGCAGGTGCTCCGGAGACCCTTTCTTGCGTTCTGTACGGGGAACGTATCGTCAATCAATGAGGGAGGAGCCACCGTGATTACTGACAGGAATTTCGATGGATACCATCGGTTGAATTTCGGACTCCGGAGGCTGCTTCTCACGCAATAGACGCGCGATTGTCACGAAACAATTCCGCGTTTCTGCGATGCCCTGGAATTGATGACCCAGCATATCTCCATATATCCAGGTCTAAGCGGACTCGCCTCAAACAGGAGAAGGAACAGAGCTGCATAATTCGGACGATCGGAGGAAGAGGAGAAGCCATCCTCAATCGCAACCGCTCTTTCTGTTTCACGGTAAATCTTTGCGGCGCGAATTTTGACAGAGCACTTGTCGAGATTGTGCGGCTGCTAATCGCACGAGTTGTTTTCCTCAAGTATCGCTACGAACGCAGCGTATAAATGTAAATAGCGAAATTCCAGGTTTTATCTCCGAGCGCTTTCCGCGATCCCGCGGAATTCCGTCTCTTTAATCCAGTTTCCAGATTAGACCGTTCCGGTGGACTTGCGCGTCTTCGTCCCGTGACACAGGTCGCGTCACTCTTCGACTCAAACAATCTTCCGGCCCGCGATCAGGCCATCATCTTGGCAGCCGGTCGAGAATCAAGTCAGCAAAGATTTTCTTCAACGCGGAACATGCAGGAAAACCCCAATCGCTCTCGGAAGGACTAGGGTGACTATCGATCGGTTCTCGAATTTTCGGTGAGCTCCTCAGAACTCGATCGAGATATCCACATTGAGTTAGGGTATCTGAAAATATTGGACTTCATAATTGAAGCGAAGATATGCACTCCAGGGATTGGAGCTGCTGGTTTTGGATCTGGTCAAGTCTCGGCTCAAGTCGAGTCGCTCGAGTCACTCTGACGTCTGTGACCATATATACAAAAAAAATGGAAGATCTACATTCTGAGTCCTTGAGAAGAGCGATTTCTCAGTTTCCGTACGGTTTTCGGAGGCTGCGCAAAGCATGAGCTCGTTGCATGCGTTTGTCGCTCCTCGCCTCTCTCATTGGAGCTGTGAATTGGGATTCGAAGCCTTCACGGTGACAAATCGTCGGAGTTCGCTTGAGTAGTAATGAATAAGCCGATCACGGATTCTGACCGTGACGCGAGCATCGCCTCATCGCCTGCGTATCATATCCTCGGAGTTAGCTAAGAAGGTCTCGTTCCATGACACAATTCGACTCTCTGATTCATTTAAGCACAAATGGCATAAAGACTTCTGCGTCAGGTGGAGCCGGTCTGGGCTTCACGTTTGCTTGCGCATTGAAAAAAGTCGTCCCATATCTGAGCGAGTTCTTGCTCAAAATCTCGGGTTCATGATTATACTCGAGGTTGTACAGTTTTCGTGAATTGGAAGTTTTCGAATTCGCCGAAGGAAAAGAGAAGGAACCGCGGGACGCCGTGAATTTCGCCGAAAGTCGTCTTGAAAAGGGTCCGCGTAGTGAAGCGGGTAAGATCGACAGGTCACTCACTCAGTTCAGGTGAACAGATAGATTTATTTGTTCATAAATAGCGTAGAATTACAGGTCATTGTCTGGATTCAATAATATATTACACATACAGGGAGTCTCGCTGTTTCGCAGCGGGACATAATTTGAGCATCGTGTGACCGAGTCACACTCCAGCCGTGCTTGTGAGTAGATCCGAACAGCGCCACTCCTTCGTTTGAGCCGATAAAAGTCACTCCAATCGATGAATGCATTCAACGTCGCTAATCATCGCCAGAATGTCGACCCTTGATCTATCGATCGATCGATCCGGGAAGGGATTCTGAGCGTACCCGCGGAGTTCGAGCCTAACCTTTTTTTCGCCGCTCTGTTTCCGTCATCTGGAGCTCCCGAAGGAGTTGACCCCGGGATCGACTCATTTGTAAACAGAACTTAGTCCCGCTTCTCTCGGAAACTAAGCTTCGGACTTCGGAATGATTCGGGGTCGTTTGGGGCAATGCTGGTAAAATTCTCATCGACTCACTTGGTCGCAACGCTTGCCCGCCGTTGTGAAATCATCTGGTCCACGATTTTGGGAATTTTTTGAGCACACTGAATGAACTCTTCGAAACTCAATTTCTGGTCTTTATCCTTGTCGAATTGCTTTATGATCGCCTTCGCACTCTGGTCGAGCTCACCGGAACCACCGCGGAGCCGATGATAACTCTGGAATATAGCACTCATCTCCTCCTCGGTAATGAAACCGTCGCCGTCAACATCGTATAACAGGAACGCTCGCCGAAATATTTCGAGCGGATCACCTCTGAGCGTCGCACTCATGGAGAACAAGTACTCTCGAAAATCGACGGTTCCATCGCCGTCAACGTCAATCACGCGGAACACATTCTCTGCAAACTTGTCGGCGTTGCCATCGGGGAACAGCTTTGCGTACATCTCCTGCAGCTGTTCAGAAGACATGCGTCCTTTCGGGTAGGCTCGGTGAAAATTCGCATAGAAATCGGTGATTTCTTTCTCGGTGAAATGACAGCAGCTCTTGAAGTCTTTCAGGTCTTCGGGCGACAGTTTGCTGCTATTCTTCCCCATTTTCGATCGCACGGTCACTTGAAAATTGGTTTGTTTGCAACAATCAGCCGTTTGTTCGAAACTAGCTGGCTCAGTCGACGGTGACAGCTTCGTTGATTCCCACCAGAGGTCGCCCATATGCAACGGCAGAGAGGGAGCAAGCGACAACGCGGATACTAAGCGTTGAACGACAAGACCTTCTCTCCGCGTAACCGCGCCGAGTCGTTCGGCGAGAACCCTCGTCGACGAAAAGGCTCGAGAGTCGCGATTCGCGCTTCGAGGAAAGTGTTCGTGAGATGCATGTTTACGCATACCATCAATTGATATCTCAGATGGTTTCGTCTCACCTTGATGTTGCAATAAGTGGATCCATCGGAGGTATCCCTTCCCTACGACACACCCAGTTTCGCTTACACTTTGATAGCCAATACTCTGCTTTATTTGTTCTCTGATGGTAAATATCGGCTCGTATCATCAGCATGCCTCTTCGGCACTTGCGCGCAAGTGATCCCTTCCCGAGCTATTGTGGGGGTGAGTGACGCTCATGCGTCGCTCTCAACCCTTTTCGAACACGATTCCACTGCTGGGCATGTCTATTGAAGCCACTCTTAAAAACTGCATTTCTCTGGACAAAGGCAGATCATGCAACGCAACATTGGTGCACTTCGCCTGGTTCCCGATGGGTCCGCCACTCGAGATCGCAGGAGTGGTCGGGAACGTGTTCAGAAACATGACGCAGCCCTCATCAGGCAGGTATTCAGCGCTGCGAGCTTCTTACGCCGCTCTTGAGCCAGAATAAAAAAACTGATTTCATGGCGGCACGGTACAAGAACCGCGGAGATGAGGGAATAAACCGGGTGGGCCAGACTATCGCGGATTCGGGTTAAACCCAAGCGAGAGGATTCATCTCGTGGAGGACTCATTCTCCTGAAATCGCCAAATGTAAGCCAAGCTGAGGGAGCGTCATAAGGCCTACCAAAACCGATTTCTGGTCGCGGCTCCCCTACGAAAGTTCGAACCCCTACCAGGGGATATCTACGAGAATGGATTCGGGGCTCAGGATCTTTAAGGATCACGATCCCGTCCCATGCTCTACTCGATCCTAGGAAAAGCGGGACTGTAGTCGATGGAGCCTCCGCTCTCTTACACAGAAAGTTGCCACAAGAGTGGATACCCCGTCCTCACACTTTACCGATTTTCTCAGACTGAAAAGCTCCGAGGCTTGATGAAGTCTTCTGACGTCAATATCGTGGTTAGGGTCTATCTATGACACTATACCACCTCTTTCTGACTAATGACGCGGGACTATTTCCAGCATATCCCTCCATCCCTGATATCGGTGCTTCTTGGAATCGGATGGGATTTGTCAGGCAATCTATCTTCGCGATTGAATTGATCCGCTACTCGTGGAGAATGGAGCCATTGGATTTTTATGTCGCTTCAATACAGCAGCTTCTGTTTTGCGATTCACTATACTATATTCACTGATTCATAGAATACCAAGTGCATATGCGGCGATACTGCGATGACCTAATTCAATGAGGACTGCTTTTCGATTAGGAAGGCTGGAACACCTCTTTCTTGCAGGGGACCATAATATAATCCTCCACATAACATACTCTCGTCGGATCGCCAGGTCGCTTTCTGAAGATGTTGCATCGACATTTGGAAGATCGCTGGAGCTGCGCACGGATCTTCCGGTGGGATCTGGCGGTAACGTTCATATGGAATCGGAACCAAATGTACAGGAGGAGGGAGTCCGACCATGGGCTATCGTCATCCTGGAAATGGATTCGTGTTTATTCCGAAGGACCTGTGGTGGAATACCGGATTCATCCATCCTCTCTCCTGCACAGATTCGCAGGAATCACAGAAATGAGACGGAGGGTACCGTGAGAGCCACATGTTCTTCAAGAGTCTCGCCGTCTTTGAGACCTTTCACGGTCACGTAGGAATCGAAAATCCTCAGGTGTATCCCGAACCGTGTTTCTCTCGATTCCTCAGCTTCAATAATTCGTTTCTTTTTCCGCTGTGTCGGAGAAACATCGAAGCTCTCAGCAACTTTCCTGAAAGGGTGGAACGAGGATTGGTGTATCCTCAAACAGAAAGACTTCTTCTCTCCATCGATGAGAGCACTTCACCTATGTTGAAAGATGGTGATCGATTCCGTTATTCCTATCTGTGATATCCGGAACTACTATTTGAGAGATTCAAAAATTGTTCGAAGGAATATCCCCAGAGGCTTGCATCGTACTCAGAGACGGTCGATGCCTTTCTCTTCCAAGTTCAGCCGCTATTTTGAATTATAAGCAGGAACCTGAGTCTCCACCGGGGAAATCCGCGGAAAGAAAACGCGACTCTCCGCGGCGTCCATTTCGTCTCTTTGGAGAGTCAACTCGGAATATCGCGATGATTCAGGAAGGAAATCCCTTCCCGCGATATCCTCACATCTCGAATCATGAACATTACCCTATGTCTTCATTCGTCGACCACCTGGTTTCTTCGATGTGGCGACTATGCTGAAATGCCTCCCCATACGGCGTAGCACTCCATGAGAACAGGTGGAACGTCAATCTGTTCTTTTTGAAAATCAATACGGTCTCAGCGATGGAATCCTCGGCAAGATTCCAGCTGACGGGACCTAGGATCAACTGCAAGACGGCGCGGTGTCGCGTTCAAGATCGTAGGCGGCGACGAATCAAATCCATTCGACAACGAATAATGAAATGCCGACCTCTTGATCGTACGTGAACTCGTCACGAAGCTCAACGTAGGGAAGCATTCTTCCGTATCTGAAGACGACGTTGAACAGAAAACCATCGAAGACCTCATCGTCAACAGGCATCCTTCGAACAAAATCCAGGGGAGGACACCAATTGCTCTCGACCTCGGTTAATCCTCTTTGCGACAGCACGTAAGCATTCACAAGCAAGAGCGCTAGGGATATTAGGCTGATCACGGATACCCCATACCCTCGGTGTCGCACAGAGGCCAATCTGGGGGAGTATTCTTCGTCTCACTTCAAACGCCCATTTTCGGCTTCTGATGGTAACCGTAAATCGGTACTCAGGCCAGAGTATGCGCATGGGATTACCAAAGTGTAAAACGGGTCACGGAACTCCTACGAATTACCGGATTACTTCACGTCGTGAATGAGCACGATCCAGACCACGAGAGAAACTCGGCCAATGGGGAACCCTGAACGGAAGGAAGCCCCATCTTGCTGCTGGCGAGTCGACGAAATCCGTGAACGACGTGTACTCTTGCGTTTTTCCGAATTCTAATGACAGCTCTCCATCAGCTCCTCGAGGGGTGCCGACGTCCGGGGAGCTGACGGTGAATTATCTTCGTTACTTTAGTTGGAAACCAAGACCGGAGTCTGCCAGAGATTCTCGCGGATGCTCCCCGAGATTCGTCACCTGGAGCCCCAAGTTTCCGGATCATCGTCCTGGTCCTGGGTCTGCTGATCTATCTTTCGCTTCTGGCTCATGTTCGAGTCTGAATCTGACAAATAATAATAACGAATTTCACTATGGAATACGATACAGTGCACGCTTTCCGGGGTCCTGGTCTGCGGTGGACTAGTCTCTAGCCACGGGCTGGAGGGTCGCCGCAAGGATCGATCGCATAGCGGAGTGAAAGAGGAAGCTCACTTATGTCACTCAAGAATCATCAATCTCATGGGCGGAGCACGGGAGCATCGTTCCACGCCGGAGCCTCGCTCAGGAGAAGCTTTGCTCCTCTCCAGGGCTTGACAATGAGCTCCGAGGACGAGATACATATGTATTTACGCCTCCTACGTTTCTCATGCTCCCCGGAGCTATGGCATCTGTAAGTCTCTGCTGATGGGCATACGCGTTCCGGAGTCCGGGGTCCTCCTGGATTTTTGAACAACGAAGATTCCGAGTCGCATACGATGCGCGCGCAAACCTTCGGATCCCCGACAGCCTCGAACCGGCGGCATCGAGACTCGGGTGGTGGCTCGGGTTTCGGGGTCTCGATAATTCGAATCGGATGGCCGATTCTACGTGGATCCTTCGTGAAAACCGGCGACGAACAAGTGAACCGATACCACGAAATCAAATGCGATGTCCCTTGACTCGCACGGTATTCCGGCGAGAACTTGGGACCACCGGAGTACCTCTATCTCTCGGTCGTTGATTGGATGAAGAGCGTCGGACTTTGAGGAAATAAGAACACCAAAATAAGCAATAGCGGATCCCTGTTCTTCATTACGTCATCACTGCTCGTTCCGAAAGAACATGCCCTCAAATATATTAACATCATCGTCGCAGGGAAACTCTTTGGTTCAAACGCAATCAGCCACAGCCTTAGCCAATAGTTCGTTGATGAGAAGGTACACCGGCGGGAACTGTTTGATGGAATTCTGTTTGACCCAGCGTAGGTACGAATCCAACGTGCCTCGTATGAGGACCAGACGATCCTTCTCTGACGGATGTTGGTCCAACCAGCTCGAATATTTCTGAAGACTCCACGACGCTGCTTCATGAGGTGATTTCATCTCAGGAGGTGCCCTGGAATTTTTTGGGAATCTTCTGTCCTCAAATGCGCAGAGTGAATTGCGGGGCAAGTTGGGTTTAATTAGGAGAAAAGAGTCACACACTTACCGGGCGAACAAGAAGTGCAGAACAGTCGAGTAAGGAACCACCGATCCGACGGACGGGGACTTCGCGATCTGCTCCTCCTCTTGGAGCAGCAGCGGTTTCAAGGCCCGCAAGGAGCGGAACTGCCTACCGAGAGAATCCTCATAGGACTCAGGGTTGAGTTGACTCAGGATCGTCTCCAATTGGCAGCAGTCTGCAGCGAGCTTCAAGCATCCTCCATCGCTCACGGGACGCAGAAGCGTTGCGAAACGCAAGAAGAGCTCGATCGTGCGGGATCCCATCTGCAACGGTAGAGAGTCGAATATCACATTCCCCGTCGAGCTTGGTTTCTACAATAGATCAAGATGTCGAGTGGTAAGGGGAAATGGACGAGCTCTTTACCTCGCGGACCATGCCCTGAACCGTTCCATTGACAGGGAAGAGGATGACGTACTCCGATATAACTCTCTGCATGAAACCGGTGAGTTCTCGCATATACAGAGAACAGGACATTTTCTCCCCATTGCTCTTGATATCGTATCTCTCCCCGTGCATCGTGAGGAAAATTGCTTCGATTGCGTTCCCGATTGAAGAGAAAAGAGGGGCCAGGGAAGACGTCAACGTCGAATCGATGTGCTTGAGCGAGGACGACATCACAGATATCGAGGTGGCATCGCAGGTCTGCGGAAATTCAGAAACAAGTTTCAGGACTCATACTGCTCTCCGATCTTCCGGAATCTAATCCAAATGTTTCTCTCCAATATCGATGAAAAATTTAATTTCCCCATGATTCTAGCCGATCATCCGTTCTGAGCACGTCCCCAGGCTCGCATGTTTCGCACAAACTCACCAGGCTTTCGGTGAAGGACGCCACTTGAACAGAGAACTGATTCAATAATTGTAGAGCGATTCCGTTATTCTTTTGGGTCACGTTCGCGGGACCTATCACTTGGATGGCATCCGGAGTTGAAGACTTTATGACAGTTTCCTCGGCTCGACTCGCCAGATGATGAACTGTTTTCGCCACATTTTTAGCGACTTTGTGTAAGAGTTGCGAATCCCCGACAGATTCGGTGACGCGGATCTCGGACATGATGACCTGCCGGAAATCGACTCTCTTCTCAGGCGTCCGAATGTATTGGCTAATAACTCAGAGGGAGGAGCTCTGAAGATTTTCGAGCTCGACAAAACTTATTCGGTATCCATCTTACATTAACAACGGCCAGAACATCTTCCTGTGAAGGCGGGGTGTTCGTGAGGCAGAGGTTGGCGCTGTCGAGGAGCCGCGATAGTGATCGGCTCAAATAGGCGGTCTCAAGGACTTCAAGACGCAATTTCGCCAAGTCAACCCTGCCGAATAAAATTTGTTCAAGTCAACCATCCCATCAATTTCTATCGTCGCAACATCATATGTCCGGCTTCGGGACGGTGATTTGTGCCCCAATCGCATCGGATCCGCAACTCACCCTTCTAGTTTCGTGGTGAAAATCTTGATCAATTTCGGATACTCTCCTTCGAAGGCTTGACGAACGAAGGTGGATTGGCTCGAGGCAGATACCAATTCTTCCGAGAGCATCGCGCTCAGATCCTCCCACAACGATTCGACCAGACCGGGTTTCCCCTCATCTGAAAATTAGGGAAAATGTTCGGATCAATAGATGGGGGACCGGGTGCGATTCTGGTACAGATTGATCTTGATGACTCGATTTCCGACTACGTACCACTGTAGATTTGAAGGAAGGTGGCATGACTGATTGCGTCTTTCCTCTTCGCCATGACGGTCTCCAGCCCCGCGACTTGAGCCAACTGAGCGTTGATGGCTCCGGTGAGGTTTTCGATCGCATTCCACAGGTTGCCCCGGAAAGCTGCTCCCCCACCGAGAGCGACCCGGCCAGGCGCTCGTCCTGCGGCTTGCTCGTTTTGCGTGAGCCTGCATTATTCATGATGATATCAATATCAATTTTCCGCTCAAATCGTTCCCTCATTCTTCGGTTTATGATGAATGAATTGGTCCGACTGAATTGATTCAATCGAAAGCTCACCTATGACTGTCGAGAGCTTCCTTTGCGGCCCGCGTGTTCTTCTCCCGGTAGTTCTGTAGAAGCCATTCAAGCTGCTGGGAGAGTATACCCATATGGTGCAACGATTGGAGGGCAATCGCGATCTGAGCGGCATTCTGTGTTTCTAGAGAAGACTTGAGCAGATTTTGACATTGTCGAATGAGATCGACTCGAAATTCACTGAGGAAGGTGAGATGCTGTCTGACTGCGTTCACCGAGTGGACCCCATCCCCGACGTTCGACAGGAGGTGGTCAACCTCGGCGATAAGTTGTGCGCTTTTGATCATGTCCTTATTCTGCTTGGAATTACTCTGTGAACAAAATTTTTCGCTTATTGTAGAACGCGATCCAGCAGGGCTCAGTCAGATTCAGGGGTTTTTCTTCCATTCATGCATTGGGGTGGGTATCCTGATGTTTATAAATGCAGTTTGTGGAACACAGTGAAATCTCAAATTTTATCCGCCCCCCCCCCCCCGGGAATCCACCTCGATCGCTATAACAACTCCTAAAGAATCGCCTCGATTGTGTATCAGCTAATCGTTCTCAAAATCGGTTTAAACATTCGAGCTTTTGATTTATTTCTGCGGAGCACGAATTTCCTGAACCCTCAAAGATGGTTGTGTAATCGAAGTAATTCTGTATTCCAGTGGGCGGCTCGATTTTTCCAAGCTTCTATGGGGTTGGTGTGATCGAGGTTCCGATCATCCTGCGACGCCCCGACTATATCGACCGCTTCTGGCACTGATAATAATTAGCTGACATGATGGAGGTTCACGGGAGTACAGGTGTATTCAAGGGATTGGAAAATTCAGGAAGGAAACGCTCACCTGACGCAACTGCTTACATATTCCCGCCAATCTCGCGACACTTCGAGCCAGCTCGCAAGTTTCATGGAGGCGACCCAGCATCAAGGTCTGCTGTTCAACTTTCGTATAGCATTCATTCATTCGACTCTGGAGGCGATCGCTGATCACCTGGAAAGTGAATTCGATGGAGTACGAGATTGAAGGACGACGGAAGCCGTCTTTCACACTGCCTCGGAACCGGACAAACTTCATAGGAGGTATCGAACATCCTTTAACTAACCTTCAGAGCTTTGACTGATGTGAAGGTGTCCTGGAGGCTCTTCTCGAGCACCTCGATGTCCGTGGCATGGCTCAACAGCTGTTCGTATTTGTCGCCCACTTCGTGTCGAATCTCTCTTTCGACAAGCGAGATTCCTATGGAATCAAATCGATAGGTACGTCTGCTAAAGATGCAGGATCAATCGATTCCCTTCGATGCAGCTGTTTCGTCGAGATGCATTTCGGCTCAGATCCGGCGGAGAGCTCATCCAGCTGTCATTCAGTACCGCGAGCTAGATACTCACCGGCTGATATCTTCGCGAGGTTGTCTGTGATAGCGAGGTTCTCGACTGCTTTCGCGGCAACGGTTTTGGCATCGAAATCATCATCGAGAAATTCGCAGTACAGAGGATCTGAGCGCAGCTGTGGGATGATCAGTCCACTCGGCGAGGAATCGGCAGAGTTGCAGACGCTTTGCTCCATGGTTCTTCACGAACTCGACTGAAATCGGTAGTTTCCCCGATGAGCTCAGGCGGCACCTCGGAGTTCTTTCGAGGCATCCCACAGGAGGATAGGCTCAATGAATCATCAGACTGCGGGAAGGAATGCTCCCGGCTGAACTCACCTTGGTCGAATTCATTCGTTCCTGAAAAACTTCATTCGCCAGCAGTGGGTCGGTGACTCAGGCACTCTTTCGGGACCACCTTCCAGTCAAGTGTGTAATGGGAGACGTTGTGTCTCCGATCAGAACCTCTCCAGAAAAATCGAGTCGCAACCAAGTTCGAATACTCGATCCGGCTTTTGACGTGTTCTATTTTGATGCGGTAGCGGGAGCTCCTACGGCTGTTGGTCGTCGACGAGCACGACCATCTGACAATACGTCGACACACGGACGGCGAAACAAGCTGTGTCTGGGATCTAGCCAGAGAACGATGAAGCGCAAGTTTCATCCGCGCGCGCAAACTCAGTGGGACGCCGTCAGCTGAATTGGAGAAACGAGAAGAACAGCCACACGATTTCGAGGCAAAAAGTGTTCTTCCGAAGGTCCAAACGGGGTGAGTAAATCATCCTACGAGGAATCAGATTTTTCGCCGGTTCGAGAATCCGAGACGCCATCAGCTGCTTACTTCTTCAAGCGACTCATGTGGGGATTCGCATTAATTCGGGGCGTGAAGAACTCCCTGTGTATTTCTCGAGCTCTCGCTGTCGTCGCGGAATCCACGTCCGATCGTCGGATCGAGTCGCTGCGAGATGCTCTGTTATAAAACCAAGTGAGATGTCTCGATCTCTCTGACAGCAGCGGTGAGGTTTAGCTCGAGAGGTCAGATGCTCGATCCATGATCGCCTATACTTTGAAGTGCTGAGGAATCGGATTGTAAAAATAGCGGAGCGTTGACGATCGTAAAACAGAAAAAGAGAGAACCCGAGCGCCGTCCACTCCTATCTTCGGCTTCGTTTGCGGAGGCGCCCCAGACGACTTGTCGATCTCACCACTTTTCCCGTCCCAGTCGGGCTCTGTGACACGAATTTATGCCCCGTAGTAAAAAAAAAATTCGTTCCCCAGATCGAAATTCGATCATCGGATTTCGGCTCGATCCACAATCTCCCGAAAGTCAGCTTTCTGTCACTCGCAAAAGACTTGACATTCGAGATGGCAACCTCGAGCTCAGCCTTCAAGGGCTATTTGTCAGCATTTGCGCGTCCAAGTGCAAAGAACGAGGAGATCCCTGGACCGCCGGCTGGTAAAGCGACGGGCTCGGATTCGGCTGCAGAAGCCGACGAAGAGGTTTGTCCGACAGGAAATTCGAAGCTGATAAAATCATGCCATCATTGCCTCCTTCGAAATTCCGTATATCGGGAGGAGGATTCCGAAACCCAATGAGTCGGATACGAGAGTTCCGACACAAAAAATGTCTCGGGTATCGATCCACAGAAATGTTGAAGGGGTGGTTATTATGAACGTATCGTCAGCGTCGCCAAAGAAATCACTTTATTTGTCCAGGTGCTGCGTCGGACACTCCCCGATTTTATCCGGCCTGGTCTCGATATGCTTCTTATCGGTATAAATCCGGGCTATATGTCGGCGAAAACTGGCCATTATTACGCCGGTCATGGAAATCATTTGTGGAAATCTATGTACGACGCTGGCCTCTTCCCTTACCCGATCGACTGGCGAAACGATTCCGAAGTCCTGGATTGGAACATCGGTGAGTCACTTTTCCTGCTTCGGGAGTACAGTCTTTTCCTCGGGAGTCTTAGCCATTTCTCGGAGCCAAGTTTCCCTTTGCATTGTGGCGCTCCAGCACTCGACGAATCATTTGTCCTGATAATGCATGGATCTGGTCTGCCGCTAAGCTGATAGAGACAACTGTCAAGTGTGGGATCCATGGAAATTATTCGAGTTCGAAGACAAAGAGAACGATTTCCAGGCTTGACAAACCTGGTGCCTCGAGCCACCCGTGGTCAGAACGACATCCTGACAGAAGAGTTCCAAAGCGGCGCTCAAGAACTGCGTCGGAAAATCTATGAGTTCAAACCGAAGATACTCGTTTTCAATGGACGGAAAATCTACGAAGCATTCCGTGGTACCGAATTGCAGCACTTCGGATTGCAGAAGAGCATGGGACAAGTGCAGGTAAGCTCAAGTATACTGTTTCGTTTTCCCTGCTCTTCGGGCGTTAGATACAAGCTGTTTATACAGTATATTCCAATTTGCCGTGAGAGGGAACTCCTCGTTCTTCCAGGTCTATGTGATGCCGTCCTCGAGTCCTCGGTCGAGCCTCTATCCTCGGAGGGAAGACAAAATGCACTTCTACAAGGGCCTGAAAAAATTGTACGACCACGTGAAGGACGGTGTCGCGTTGGATGTCGATGAGATCCAGTTCGAGCCGAAGAAAAGAACAACCAAAACCACTCCATAGATCGAGATTTTATTCCCCGTTCCGTGAAATTAGAGAGAGAGAGACGAGACGCTCCCGATGAGTTCACTGTCATTCCCCTTGCTCCTCCCTCCCTCTCTATCAACTCAACTCACACGGAGATCACGGAGACTTTCCAACTTTCTCGTAGAACATTATTCAAGGCCCGAATCCGATTCCATTGCGGAAGGCAATGGGGCAGATACAGATCAGCTTGCTGTAGCTGAGCCGTTTTTTCACTGAAACTCATGCATGATGTATGAGACGCACAATCAGCGTAGGACCTAGCAAGGCGGGGTGAATTTCAATTCCCACCTGTCGGCTGTTTAACAATGAACGGGAACTGAAAGCGTTTCTCGCATCATCGGAGGGCCGCGCCATCGTGGGAACAAATACTATATAGTGAAGCAATAATGAAAGTAGGTACTCGGAATCTCGAAAGCGACACAAGCCCGATACTCGGAGCAGATAATACGTACGTATACGGGAAATAAATTCCAAATACTCGCTCCGCGCTGTCGTTCTCCTTCGTCAGCAAACTTCGAAGGGGGTTTGGCTCATTATTCCTCCCGAATCTTGAGTTCTCCAGCGCCTTTCTTCTCCCAGCCCCTATGAATTCCAACGATGGTATTCCCAAAGGATCGAAAATTCAATCAATATTCGAAACCACGCCCACCTTCCTCCAGAGCTCTGTTGCCTTGTTCGCTGCTGACGCGGTATTTGCTGTCAGCCGTGGCGGTCAAGGAGGGGTTCCGCACACAAATCAATGTCAAAATTCTGGATCTGTTCGGTGAAGATATGAAGACGAGCGGAGAGCAGCGATTCCGGCAGAACGTATGGGGGCATACGGGACTTGACGAGATCGAGTATGGTCTTGATACGGATCGGACGAAGATGCTTCTCTGCAGTACCAAACTCATATTAGCTTCCCCAAAACTTCTCTATTTAGCTCGATCCCGAGTTTTGTAACATCGAGAGCTCATGTATTCCTTGATGCTCACTAATGCCCGCGACAAACTTATCATTTCCGACTCCTTCGACCTCTCATCAGCGATCACTGCGATCTTCAAGTCATGCGCAGCCTTAAGCCTGAAAAAGCCGAGGTCCCCTCGAGCTTCGACCATTGTCTTACGAGCATCGACGCGCCGACTGCCCGGAAAAAAACCCATCGGTCGATGTAAGACAAGTTTCCGGGGCGGCAGCTCTCCCAAATTAGGTTGACGGGTAGCCGAAAGGTCAGAGTTGAGTTCAACTCTCGCGAAGAGACCCTCCGAGAAGCCTGCGAGAGTCGAGCTCGATCACGCTCCTCGCGGCAACATGGTTTCCATCATATCAGGACGAATGCCAGGATAGATGCTATCGGACGCGCCTGACCGGACTCTGCCTCAAGATCTCCCGCAGGCGATGGAGGTCGACAGCGACAGAAGTCGCCGCGACTTGCTCGCCTGTTGAAAGAGAGACCCAGCAACTTATCGTGAAACAAACAGCAATGACAACAGTATTGATCGTCTACCAGGAGGAGAATGCAGAGAATGCAAGATTTACTTTGCCAAAACTTGTGGAAAAACTGCCAGCACAAACTGATTCAGGTGGGCAGAAATTATTATCAGTCTTCTCCGACCATTCGTACCGGTGCCTATGAAATCAGTCTGAATCGTACAAGTAGAATCGGGATGTTCGTTTTTTTCGGAGTTCGAGTCATCACCCACCCTCCCCCCGTGCACAGGATTCGCCCGAATATCGAATTAGGTGAGCGCAACAATCAAATTAGAAGCGGCCGCCGACGCGAGTTCCGCGAAGTCCATGCATCTCCTCCGGAGCAGCGACGATGGAGGTTTCTCTCTCAGTACCTGCAGAGATGGACTGTAGCGTATCGCTCTGGAGCGGTGAACTCGCTTCGTATGCCAGAACACATCCACGCTCATTTTTTTCTCCATTCTTCCCACCACTCCAGGCCTTCCGAAGAGCTAAGCCGCGAAGCGGTGCAGCCCAGAGCTGTACTTCATCAAAGTCGTTGACGGGTCGTTTGCGCCCGTTTTCGTGTAATACTCGACGGCTTTCTGTCTTGACAGCTTCTCGGAGCCTCCGCGCGAGACCCGCAGCTCGTTGCCGACGAAAAGTAACGTTGCGAATTCCAGCGGCGAGAACTCGTATTGAAAGAACGATTTTGAGGGAATCGACTCGTTCGAGGAGGACTGGGGATTCGATCGAATGACTGATAGGGGGACGGCTGCAAACTTATCACAGGAATAAAATTCCTAAATGCCCTTCTGCCTATCTGCACATGGAATGTTCAGCTGAAGCAGAAGCTCGTTCGAATGGTTCGAGTAGCGGGCTCGCTGCACTCGATCTCGGAGTTGTGGTTCGGTGGGGCAGCATCTGAAGTCGCTGGTGGTCGATAATGAAATAATGAGTGTTTCGTCTCGGTGCAAGTCGTGGTCGGCGCTCCGCTCGCGGTATTCGCAGTAAGCCGCTGGCGAGTGCTGGAAGACGGCCTTCTGGTGAAAACCTCTCTTTGCAAGGGCTGTGCGCGATATGCTGGCGCTGGTTTGCTCGCTCGCTCGAAAGGTACCCCACTGAGCGCCGATAAGGTCGGCCGATGTCTTCAGCAAGTGAACAGGCGTGCATCGTTTCGAAGAGCAAGCTTTACTCTCGTCGGCGGTAGCCATAGGAGCACAGCAAGCGGCGGCGGTTGTTGCTTCGTCGCGGCCAGTAATGCTGGTGCCGCCGCACCATGCCGAGTCAAGTCCGATAGTTCGAGCGTCTTTCAGTCAGTCAGCCAGCCAGTCGGTCGGTCGGTCCGTGGCTGCTCGGACGGACGGACAGATCGACGATCGTACGAAACGACCGACAGCCGTGCACCGCCGCCCGCTGGGAAAAGCTTCGACCGCTTCGACCGCTTCGACTCTTCACCGAACGAATTGAGAGGAGCGCGCAGCGTCTCTTGTTCGAGCTTGGATCCCTTTCTGAAAGACTGGTTTTTCGTGACTGCTTTCGATCGGAGCAGCTTTCGTGGTGGACTCGGCGCACTGGACGATCTTCAGACTTACATGCACGCTCCTCTCAATGAGCAGCCGTCTCTGAGCGCCGTCAAGAATATCAAGCGAATAATCCGATGCTTTCTCGTCTTTTTCTCGAAACATTCCCAGATTTTCGCAGCTCCGCGAGAAATCATTCGCTCAGAGTTAGCTCGGCCTCAGATAGAGACTTCGCGTTGGAATCGGAAATGCTTGCGACACCCGGACCGGCATGATTCTCTTGACTGACTGGCTGATTGATTGGCTGGAGTTGTTTGTGGGAGCGACTGAAGCAGGTAAAAAAAAACTTCCGGCGACGGTCTCTCACTTCAGCCTCGAGCCATGCTTCTATCCAGTTTGATTGTCGGATAATAATCGTTCAGATACGCGGACTGTGATCTCCCTGGTTCATGGAATGTTTCTGACGGACAACAACCTATAGGTCGAGAAGGTCCGCACATTTACATTCGTTTTGCTACATCAACGCAGTCCCGCTTGTGGATAGCGAACCCACTAAGACGATGTCGCCCGTTAGCAAGTAATTATCGAGACCGTGAACGTTTACTGTTTATCCTCTGACGGGTCCCAGAGCTCCCTCGCCAAGAGCGTAATTGACTTCCCCCCCAATACTTTCGAGCATTGCCAAGAGCTCGCGGGATGGTCGTGCCCCGTCTATTCATATACATGACAAATCGTGAATTGAAAAGCGGCGATGGGAAAAAGATGGAGCGCGATGTCGAATGGCTTTACCCTGACGCTTGATGATTTCGGCCAAATCTCAGGATTTGAGAAATCCAAGAGGCGCTTTCTGAAAGATTATTACCACCCCGTCATCGCTACACGTCCTGGGAATGAGGAGGAGTGTCGACCTGTCCCGTCGAAGGTGGTACAATGAAATTGGAAGCGAGTTTACTTTATTTCGTGCATTGAGGCAGGTGACTGTCGACTACCCGCCCAGTCAGCTGCTCTTTCGCGATCGGCCGGGTCATTCGATGGATGAGCAGAGCAACGCCGAGCGCTACAATTTTCGTATTAGCGACGCTGCTGTGGCATTCGACCATTAAAGTCCGTAGTGAGTGAGAATCTCTTCGGGTTATCATAGCCGACACATAGAAATCGTCCAGTCTTGCTACACCAACTCATGCCTGATTTCCGCGGGACTAAACGGGTCAGCATTCTACCCGTTCGCGTTCGAGCTCCCCAAGTGATAAAAAACATGAAAAACAGACGATAGAATCGATAGACGATAATCGTGGCGATGGTCATTTTGCGAATTATCTCAAGAGACGTGAACGATCAATAAAAAACTCTGAGCCATGCTCCAGGAGGTGAGGTCCGGGTCGAGCTCATTTAGCAGCGAATATAGAGCGTCTTTCAAATGCTGTTTCGCCTTAGAGTTCCGAACCTCTCACTGAATGACCTTTCTTGACTTTCGTGCTCGGAACGAATCATCCAGCCTTCCAGGGGGATTCGATGGACATCAGCCTTTTCTTCCAAGCATTTCCGCGGGACACGTCTCACGAGCGAGCTTCGGGACCGATCTGTGGTCGGACAGCTGTAGGGTGGGCGCATCGCCTACCGATCGATCACTCGGCTTCTAGATCTTTTGGCAACAGGTTTCGTTGGTACAGAAAACTCGCTTTGGACTTCCACTGATGGTTCCGCTAGAGAATTCGCAGTAGTTCGCTCCGAGTCCAGTCTGAGACTTGGGAGGCTCATGCTTATTTAATCTACCTACATATCTTCATGGAATTCGTAGGATTTTCCTCATCTCGAATATCGTTCGTAAGTCTGCGTTTCGGCAATTTCTTCTACTGCTCATCGTGCACACACATCATCGGAGGAAACCGAGACTCGTAGATCGACTTTCCAACAGCTTCCACTCGCTAAGATGCTTCTATTCGTCGATGGCCCATTGAGCCGCTGGAATTGAATAAGTCGTTTGTGGATGGATCGGAGCTCACACTCAAGAAATCAAGACGTGCTGGGAGTTAGGAGTGTGAAGAGTGTCGTCCAACATCTCAAGATCAAGAACGTGTAGTGCCCCGGTGTTCCTCACCGCGTGAGGAAACCTCATCAGAAAAGAACAATGAGGGAAGAAGAGCTTCCGCAGAGGTGTCAGACTCATAACGCGGTACAAACCACCAACGGCCTGGCACAGATTTTTGAACACGTGTTTTCTCACCGCTTGTTCCAACTGAGCAAACAGGTAGAAACGTAAGAGACGATTGTAGTGTTTTACAAAGCCCCAGATATGAGAGTAAGACCGCTGAAGGATTTAGTCTCAATTTTGGAGCAACTTCGAAGAGAGGGGGGTCAATTGAGTTGAGACTCGCGGTGCTTGTACCGGGAAAAGCTCGACGATTTCGAAACATTCACTAATGCGGATGTTCCTCCTTCTGCAGGGCTATTGCGAGATCTCCGCTGCCGATTTCGACCGATCCCAAGTATGAGCGGCCTGGAGGAAATCGCCGACCTGTCCCGG